GTAACCACTACGCTACCAGAGCTCCTTTACTGTTCAAATATTTATAGCTGTAGTCTCAATACTGTTTCCATGCTTGAAATGGCTGTAGGCCACTGGCTAATCTGCCTGATGCCCAGTCTAGTTGGTCACAGTTTTCAAATGCCAACTGCATGTTCCTATGTCTGTTCAGATTCCAAGAAGGCTCGGGTTCAGCTCATACATAGTCTTTTGGAATGTTTAGAGACTCTTGCCACCACTCCATAGTCAAGCTGACCAATTTCCTTTGTTCACTTGTATCTTTCTAGCCTTTAGAAAATATTTTCCCATAAACACTATGCAGTAATTGTAAAAGTAATAACAGATTAATTAACAGTAATGAAGACACCTACATGGGAATCACAGACTATTCTTCAAAAAATCCATCAACAGAGAAGCACACAAGCAGAATGTGGGACCTTATCCAGAGAAGCAGCAGCACCAGAGATGGAGATAGAGATGGGGGCATAGAGAGGAGAAATGGCTGAGGACTCTAGATTCATGGACTAAGAGCTGGTGGGCTGGAGGCAGACTTGCAGACTGTGCCATTTGGAGATGTAAATTATTATATATGCCTGAGTGGTTTTTTTTGTTTGTTTGTTTGTCTTTAAAAAGCTAAAGTGGATAGAGAGAAATACTGTTAACTGATGGTACATGGTTGGGTTTATAATCATTGTAATGAAAAAAGGTGTATGATTTGTTGAATGTAAAACTGATGATATGCCCTGTAAACTTTCACTCAATCCACAATAAAAACCTTACATTAAAAATAAATAAATAAAATCCAACAAACTACTAGAAAATGTCTTTAAGGATTTGATTTGAATAGCAAACCTGGGGAGGGAAGACTAACTGTGCAACAAAAACAGAGGAAACATTCAAATGCAGAGAAAGGGCCTATGCTACTAAAATCGCTCATGACATTAAAAACTCTACAAACTCCCATCTATTGCTTAAACCTAGAGTCTACTGGCTATATACATTAATTTTAATTACTGCCCCAAGAAGTTAAAATCTTGAAAGTGGCAAAAACAAACCAAGAGAGCATCTCTTTCTTCTCACTATACCATGTTATCGAGTCACTTTTCCTGGGTAGCTCTGGTTATTAAACCCCCAAATTCTAAATGACCCTGTCTCCTTCTGTAGAATCCTATGTGCACATCAGATTTGATATTTTGACTATAATTCAATAATAGGGATTTCCAAACTTATCTTTGAAAATGCAGCCTTTGTTTATTTTTAAATAACAATAATCATGTAGGTGCAACTGACTCAAAACTCCTCATGGGGGGGTGGGGGTGGGAACACACCTAGAAGACAATCAATAAAGGCTTCTGCCTCATAAAGTTAATAACTGCATCGAAGACTACCCGTTCTTAGAATTTAAGATAATAATTTATATTGCGTAGCCAAGGTTTACAGTTTGCATATATAGAAGTATTGATGCATTTGAGTTATGGTGTTGGAGGAGAATATTGACAGTGCCATGGGCTGCCAAAAGAACCAACAGCCACAGTGCTCCTTGGAGGCCAGGATGGCCAAGCTTCATCTCTCATACTTCAGACATATTGTCAGGAGGGACCAGTGCTGGAGAAGGATATCATGTTTTGTAAGGTGGGGGGTCAGAGAAAAAGAGGAAGACCGCCAACGAGATGGATTGGCCAATTGGCAGCATTGATGAACTCAAGCGTGGCAACAGTAGTGAGGTTGGCCCAAGATCGGGCAGTGTTTCGTTCTGCTGTGCATAAGGTCACTGAATCAGTACTGACTCGATGACGCCTAACAACAACATATATATATGTTGTTGTTGTTGTTGTTATGTGCCGTGGAGTCGGTTCCGACTCACAGCAACCCTGTACAAGGTTTCTGAGGCTGTGAATCTTTACGGGAGCAGAAAGCCTCATCTTTCTCCCGCAGAACAGCTGGTAGTTTCGAACTGCTGATCTTAAGGTTCACAGCCTGCTTCGTAACCACTACGCTACCAGAGCTCCTTGTGTATGTATATATATGCAATGTATTATGTAATACATTCATATTTGTAGTATTAGTAGTAAGATTGCGTGTTCAAAAGTTTACATTATCATATATGGAGTAGAGTTATGTAAGCTGTGCAAAGTAACTGACTTCCTCATAACAATGTAATATCATTTCTACATTTGGAGAAAGTTGTATTTTACTTTTATAACACTATGAAGGCATGCTACACTATTGCCTAGAAAGTTACTATTTAAAGATGCCAGAAGTAGAACGTTAAGAATGCCCATTACTCTTCTCCATATATTGGGTGGCAAAATAAGGCAGAGTGGAAAGGGAAATCAGTAATCTTTCAAAACTGATGATCTTTACCAGTTTTCAGAAACAAGACTGAATTCCAATACATTTTAGACTTAAACTGCTCTCAACAAATTATCAAGACATTTAAAGTAAAAGAGTCACCGCACAAAGTCTGAATAACAATGAAACTGCAAAAACAAGTCAAGACTGTTGATAAAGCATCCAAAAATATTGCTGTGGGTTTTTACTCTGGACACAACCATGGTCTGTTAAAAAAGTAAATCATACATCCTGAGCCCTATCCAGAACCTTCTGAGGTGGGACATTCCCACTAGAAAGGACAAGCAGACCAGCCTGGAACACCTAGAGCAACAGAGGATACATCTTCAAAAAACAATCAGCAGGGGGGTGGGGAAAAAGGCAGTATGATTGGCTACTACAAGAATAATCAAGGCAAGCAATCAAGTCCCTTCAGAACAAACCCCCTCTAAGACTGAAACTCAAAGGGAACACATGAGCAGGCATGTAAGCTTGCTGGCAACCACACTGGTCTACTGGTGAGTGGAAGAGGGGAAAAGGCAGCAATGAAAAAATGGGCTGAGTTCAACCACATTCCATTGACTCCCATTGACCTGAAGATGAGTGCGAGAAGAGGAAGGACTGGTTGCTCCAAAGTGTGGTGAGACCTGGGGACACCTGAGCCCATGGACAAAGACAAAGCCACAGAGGGCTAGAGCTGAGAGTGAAGCATCCAGTTGATGTGAAGTGAGGGGAGACACAGAAGAGCCCCCATACTTACAGATAGTACCTATTTGACCTAGCCTCAATGACTTGATAATCAGAACTCAACTAGAGGAAGATTTTTTTTAAAAAGCCAATTTTTGATAAAGGAAACAAGGGTAAATTGCTGCAATTTGATGAACTTGACCTATACTCATGGATATAGTAACTCAAAATAACAACAGAGAGGGAAGGAGTCTTCACATCACGTATCAATGTTATCCCTCTGTTGACAGGGTAGATAGGGAAAAACAACTGAGACATTGGCTACTATAAAGGAACGAAGTGAGTGGCTTACAAGTTTTTAAGAGGGAGTATAATTTAAGAATATGTGAGGGAAGATAGAGTCCCCACTGAATAGTTTTCATCTTGTCTAGATGGGTCTAGTTAAGAGAAATGGGGATAAGATTCTTATGATTCAATAGTGAGTAATTGTCATCATGACTATTTGATAGTATCACTAATTGTAAAGGTAGAAGTTTTGTAATAAAAATGGGAGAGTAGTTAATCTTACAGTCCAGAAACAAAAGACCCTAGGACCATCAAAGGAGAAGAGCACAAGCAGAATACAGGACCTTATCCAGAGAAGCAGCGACACCAGAGATGGAGGCAGCGATGGGTTCATGGAGAGAGGGAGTAGTTGAGGACTCTAGATTCGTGGAAAGAGAAGCACTGAGAGCTGGCATCCAGGAGGCAGGTTTGAAGAATGTGCCCTTGGTGGTTTAAATTATTATATATGCCTGAGGTTTTGTGGGGTTTTTTTTTGTTGTTGTTTTGTTTTTTTTAAAGAGCTAAAAGGAATAGAGAGCAATACTATTAGCTGGTGGTACATGGAGGGGACTATAATCATTGTAATGAAACAAAGTATATGATTTGTTGAATGTAAAACTGATGATCTTCCCTGTAAACTTTTCACAATAAAAACTTTTAAAAAAGAAATAGATCATACCTACAAAGGTACAAAGAACATTAAGTTTTAAACTGAAAGCAGCAGTCCTTTTAAAGGGTTATCCCCCGGGCAATCTAACAAATAGTAGAATTTAAGTATGTTAAACTCATTACAATGCTGAGGAATGTGATGTCTTATTGGTCAGCAATGCTAAACGCCCTTTCTTGGGGCAAGGAATGGGCGAGTCTGCTTAGGGAGGTCAGAGGGAAAAGCTGAAGCCAGGAATCAGGGCTGCCATAC